AATTTTTTTTTTTTTTTTTTTTTTTTTTTTTGTACCAGGGATCAAACTCCGGCCCTTGAGCTTGTGAGCCAGGCACTGGAACCACTGAGCTAAATCCCCGGCCCTACAGTAATCAATTCTTAACATTTAAACACTCACCCTGTGTTTGGATCAAATCTCGTACATATACGCAAAAAGAAAAAGCCCCAAGGCACCTCCTCCTTCAGGACCTTACATTTCACAGCACGGCACTGTATTCAAGGACTTAGGTGTACAAATGCACACATGTGACCGGAAAGGCTGGGGTTCCCAGTAAGTCTGAAATGCTGACCTGACCGCAGGACCCAGCACAGTGTACAAGGGCAAGTCGGAGGGGCCCTGGGTGATCGCAGACTCACCATGAGGTGGAGGGCGAACTTGGTGCCCACGGACCAGTCGTACGCGCCCAGGCAGTAGACCAAGGCGGGGAGCCGCAGCGGGTTCTGGCTCAGGTTGTCCAAGCTGAAGAACCCGTACTCGAAGATCCGCTTGCACCGGAGGAAGCTCAGCTCTCGGTACTTCTCCAGGGGCAGATCGGCCCCCCGGGAACCTGCAAAGAGTGGGTCCTTCTCCAAAGCCGAGAAGACGGTCTTCTGAAAATGCAGCAGACGGGACACTAGCTGGGCCCCTCCTACAAAGCTTTTCTCAAGGCCACAAGCGGCTGGGACACAGCCTGACCCACTCCTTTCTTCCTGGCAATTTGGGGTCTGAGGAGGAGAGGGGCCCGTGCTGCTCTGGGTCAGAGAGGCCACATGGCTTCGGGGCTGCAACCTCATTTCTGCCTGTGAACCGAGGTCCCCTGCAGGTCCCCTGGGCACCACAACAGATGCCGTAGCCCCTGGTCCTCACCTTGAAGCGGAGCAGGTCCTCACCCTCCCAGAAGAGCTGCAGCTCCCGGGGGCTGAAGGACGCACACGCTCGGTAGGCATCAAGGGGTCCCCGGGGGGGATCTGACCACAAGACATCATCACGGCCATCCAGTGTGGGTGCCATCCTGCACGGAACATGCTCTGAGCCTGTGTTGCTTGTCAGCCCGCCTCTCCTCCCCCAGTGCACACCTGGGAGCCAGCCACACCCTGAGAAAAGCAAGCCCGAGTCCCGAGGGTGCAAGACAGCCAGCACTGGGTGCTGGGTTCCAGAGGAGTAAGTGAGGAGACCTGGCCTCATTTCCACACTGGCTGGTAGAGGATGGCAGAGTGTGGGAGAGCAAGAGCAGCCCTGGGGCCTGAACCTGCACCTTCGTGAGGTCCAGGTCCAGAGAACATTTGCAGTCTTGTCCCTTGTTGCCATGGCCTTGCCTAAGGACACCTCAACCCCAGGGGGACCGGCGCTCCCCACGGAGCTCGGGGCCCGAGGCCTGGGGAGCTTCCCCGCTAGAGTCCAGCCACATACAGCAGTACATGAGTACCCACCCACTGCGCACAGACATCTGCCAAGGAACCTTTGACAACAGGCAGCTGTCCTGGTCTCTGTTCAACATGCAGGCATCTGGTTTCCCCCTCTGGGCCAGAGAATCATTTCTACATGGCCTGGCTCTTTCTCCAACAGCCTTGGCTAATCACAGCCCTAGAAGGCATTGGCTCATGGGCTCAGGCCTACAGGAAGCCAGGGAAGCTGAGTCCAGGTCTGGAGGCCCAGAGTAACTTTCATTTCCTTCCATGGGACTGCTGAAACAGAGGAGGGTGGATCCTGCTTGTGACAGTCACAATGAAGCCTTCCTGGAGAGTGTGGTGGCCTGAGAGCCAGGGACCCGGTGCTGGGTGGCCCTCCCACTGACTGTGAGCCAGGTACTGTGGCCTCTACTGACACAGGGGCAACAGAGGCTCACAGCGGCCCATGCTTTCCGCTGGGAAGGGGCAGAGAAGGGCCTGGAGCCCAGGAGGGGCCACCCCAAGTCAGGTCCTGGAGCAACACCCAGGACATGGGCAGGGTGAACAAGCTGAACAGAAAGCAAGTGGAAGGAAGAACACAGGAGAAGATGAGACCCAGAACCAACGGGACAGAAAGGAGAAGAGCAACAGAGAAAAGCCAAGGGAAATAAAGGTGGGTTCTCTAAAAAGACAGACAAGACTGGCAAGCTCTTACCCATGCTGACCCCACGAGAGAAAGAAAAACCCAGAGTCCCAATCAGAAATCAAAGAGGGGACATGAGGAGGACAAAAGCATCATGAGAGAACCCCATGAGTCACAGAGCCAAGTTCACCTTCTCCCCAGACCCAGCCTGTCCTCCTGCAGGCCTCGTTCCAGTCAGTGGCCCAGGAGTCACTCAGGCTGTAAACCTGCGTGTCACTCTGGAAGCCCCTGGCCCTGAGGCCCATAACCAAATTAAGCCTTGGATCCCTCTTCCCTTTTAGCCTACATGGTAGCCCCCAACTGCTGGGTGGGTACTGCGTGCAGGTGGCTGGGTGGAGGAGCTAGGTAACCTTGGCGTTCTCCAACAGGCCCAAGAACCACCAGGGTTCTCTGTTTCCAGGCGAGACACTAAAGCATCTTAGGGTGGAGTCAACTACCCGAGATCCTGCCGCTGTTATCAGGCACAGCTGCCTCCAAGGCCATGATCCTAACCAGCGCCCTACGTCCCCATGCTCCCTGAGGCCACCAGTGGTCCTGCATTATGGCACAGTTGTTGCAAACAAGACACAAAGACCAAACTGCCTGAGCTCAAACCCCAACGTTCCAGCTCTCAGGCTGGGAAACCATACCAAGCCAGTGCGGCAGGGTCGCAGGGCAATGCCGTCCCCCACACACTGTGCCTGGACCACTTAGGCCACAGCGCACCGCAGCACAGGCAGGAAGTGATGCTTTATTGTCCATACTCTGAGGACAGCTGCAGCTCGTCTCTTCCTCTGCTAAAACCATGAAAAGCTATGGTTCGGGTCTGAGCTCCTGCACGGGTCCCCCAGACCAGGCCAGACCAGAATGGAGTCACTCTCCCTAAGGGCTCGCGATCCAACAAAAACCTACAGGAGCCGAAAGGTGCCGGACAGCCCACTTACCCTACAACAGGACACTCAGCCTACCTAGATCTCCTCGCTTCAACCCTTGGGAAAAGTAACCTGAAGGAGGTCACCTGACATTGGCTTCTCCTCCAAGTTCCTGCCTCCTTCCCACCTTAAGTCCGTCTGTCCTCCCCTGCCCGAGGAAGATGCCCCCTTTCTCAGGGTTCCTGAATCGAGAATCCGAGCCTGGAGACCTGCCGATGCTTTTGCAAGTCTGTCTCGTGACCTCCGTGCGGTGGAGAGAAGTTTGGCCCCTGCTAGTCCGGTAGGAAGCAGCTGCCGGGTGACCTCGGGGACGAAGTCCGGGCTGCTCCACGTCCCGCGGGGACTGCTTCCCGCGTCTCCCAGCGGATCTCTGCACGAGGGCCTCCTCGCTTGGGAGCTCACTCGGGCTCGATCCCCAGGCCCGGGGAGTGTGTCCCAGGGCCTGGCCTCCCCGCCTTGCAGCCTCTGCCCCCACCCCGTCTCCCAGGAAACGCAGGGCGGACGGTCTGAAACACTGGTTCTTTGGAGAATTTCCGGGTGCGGGAATCTCTGGGATGACTATCTGATCTGCAGATTCCGGAGCCCACTCCAGAGCGGACCGGGCAGCCCCTAGTGGGCGTTTTCGAATCAGCGTCCCAGGGCCTGGCCTCCCCGCCTTGCAGCCTCTGCCCCCACCCCGTCTCCCAGGAAACGCAGGGCGGACGGTCTGAAACACTGGTTCTTTGGAGAATTTCCGGGTGCGGGAATCTCTGGGATGACTATCTGATCTGCAGATTCCGGAGCCCACTCCAGAGCGGACCGGGCAGCCCCTAGTGGGCGTTTTCGAATCAGCAAGCTTGCCCCAGAGCGCACTGAGACGTTTGCGAAGCACGGTCTTGTGCGGGTCCTCAGAGGGCGCCCCTGGCCCACAGCAGCCACCGATTCGACATCGGGGCGCTAGCGGAGTCTTTGTTTCTGTCTCCCGGGACCTCAGGCGTGCCTCTTGGGATCCGCTCGGCGTTTGACTGCCTGCAGGGGACCTCAAGGCCTGGGCGGGGGTGCGGGGGGCCTAAGCTAAGTGGCACACAGCGCATGGTGGTGGGAGGTGCTATTTGGAAAGGCCGCCTCCTGCCCCTACCCTGCGGGATCTTCTTCCTTACGGGCCGCATTGCTCTGCCCAGCGATCTCGAAGTGTCAGGGAATCAGAAGAGGGGACCTGAGGGCAACCCAGTGCGTGCTCGGTCCCAGCCAGCATTTCCGGCAGGGGCTGTGGTGTTGCTGCCAGGGGACCCGTGCTAGTTTTTCACATTTGAGGACACTGTCGACGCAACACGGAACTCACACCTCCTGTAGGTCACAATCTCTGCCCAAGCCATAAATGCTATGAAGTTGGGTTCACATGTTTTCTTGACTTTAGAAAAACATCATTCCACTTGGAAATCTTGCACCTAAAATGAGTGGCACAGAGCAGCTCTCCAAAACAAAGATGTTATTTGGAAATGACAAGAGATTGTGATCCCTGATCTGCATGCTGTGGAGGACCACAGTGGATAAGGGTATTTAAAGGTAAAAGGAGAAAGGTCACATCAGTTGTTTGGAAATGCTTATCCTCGATGAACACGGGAAGTTTCCTCTGAGGCTGCGGGAAGTCACTGACTAGCTGTCCCCAGGTATTTTTGTGCAAGGTGGCAATTTTTGCTGAGTCTTCTGTGATAGTTCTTGTTAGCAGGCAAATAGACATGAGATCCACTGCCTGTTGCCTCCCGACTCCACTTTGTTAAGGTTTAACGCAAGCAGCTCACAGCTTTCACAAAACCATTCCCTTCCTCCAGGAGAGAGGAGATGTTTTAAGCAGATGTGGGAGGGCAGGCTAGAGAGGAAGACCTCTGTGCTAGTTACTTTTCTCTTGTTGCTGAGGCAAAATACCCCACACCCAAAGTTAGAGGGGAAGGGGTTTATTTAGCTCACAGTTCCTAGAGGTTTCAGTCCCTAGTGGGCCGCCTCCAAGGCAGGGATGGTGAGCAGGCCTCGCAGAGGAGAAGCAACATGGCACGCGCGGGGCAGCACAGGCAAGAGGAGAGCTTCACCATCCCTTTCTGCCCCTTTTATCCCATCCAGACCACTGGGGTCAGGGCGGGGCCAAACCACTCACTCACCTGTAGGGTTTTAGTAATCACACACCCTTAACTCCGGCATCACACGTTCCAGATTCAACCACCTCAGATTGAGGCTTTGGCGGGACGTCCGGACCCAAACTATAAACACCTCGGAGCCACTAGAAAGAAGCTGGGGGGACTGAGGTGCCACTGTGGTGCCGGAATTGGAGGACGGGAAGGGTGCTGCGTGAACATTGCTGCTGGGCCTACTTGGAACGGGCAGGCTGCCATCACAGAACATGCTTAGAGAAAATGTGCAGAGATCGTGTCCCCAGGCTTGGGAAAGCCACAGAACACGTTCCCCCAGCCCATCTGTGTTTCTCCCTCTATGCTGCCACCACTCCTCAGGTCAGGCTGTGGCTCCTTTCGGCCCCATTACTTCACTCTGTCCACTTTCCTCGTGGGTGAGTTTAAGACAGTTGTTCCCAGGTCTGTACTTGGCTTGACCTCTTTCCTTTTGAGATAAGGTATCATTGTGTGTTCAAAAAGGCCTTGAACTCACTATGTAGTCCAGGCCAGCCTTGAACTCATGGCAATCCTCCTGCAAAGCACCAGTAGCACAGGTGTGCACCACCATGCCTGGCTGGACTCCACAAACTTTCTGGCCCTGCAGCACTACTCCCCAACCTGTTGCTCCCTGGGCCCTAGGACAGTGCTTACCCATGTCTGATAGGCAACCTCGCAGGACACCTCCCTGTGAATCAGGCAGCCATGGAGGCTACCGGACAGCAGCAAGGTAGAAACAGAGAGAGCTGCCATGCTCTGGGTTGTGTTGCTGGGCCTGTGTTGCTGGGCCTGACATGCTGATGACACTGAGATCTTCATAAAGGGTCTCCCTTTCTGGGAGGAGAGAAGAGAGTTTGGTTTTGTCCAGTTTTGTTGGCTGCTTCCTGGTAGAACTGCAGGAGTGGGGTGGGGGAGCAGTTCTTTGGGTGACTCTGCTGACAGTGACCAGCCCCTCCAGTGCAGCTTTGCCAGCAGACCCTCAACCTTTGACACCCGTCCCCACCCATCCCACCACCCTACGGGTGCCCACTTCCCGGCTCATGTTCTGCACTCAGCTCCATTGGCTGAGGGGAAGACAGAGTCCTTGCATAAACTGCTTAGCTGGAACATGCAGTCTTGAGCAAGTGCCTTGTGATGGCCCCGTTCGTCAGACAGGCAGCCCCTGTGGGGATATCTTGCACAGGCCTCTTCCAGGTACCCCGGAGCCTGAGTAACCCTTTGTGGCCTCCTGTTCACCCTGTGAGGTTTGGACATGAGTGACTCCATGTTGAC